AGAGAGTTTGTCATTCCCTGACTCTTCTCGTAGAGGATAACCTCCCATTTGATATGATCCTAGGAATGGACTGGGGAGAGGCAGCAGGGGCCATACTCCATCTGAGAGAGCACGAGTGTAGGCTCACTAGTCCAACAGGCGAAGTTAAGACTGCTCGCCAGTTTCATGTGTCAGGAGTAGATAACCCTCTGGCACATTGCTGCCTCAGTGCTCCCGTGTTCGCGCGATTAGTGAAGGAGCAATTAGAAGAACAAGTTTTTGTAGCCTATGTTAGGCCTGTCACTGAGCCTAAGGAAGAGGAACCCACTTCAAGATCAACGCAAAGAAGGGCGAGTGGGCCAAGACACAAGCTCTGTGTTTGGGCCACGTCTTAGATGGAGATGGTATAAAACCTGAGGACAGCAAGATAGCGGCAATTAGGCCCGCACATTGATAGAGTTGCAGTCGTTCTTAGGCCTAGCAAATTACTGTAGGAAGTTCGTAAGGAACTTCTCTACCATCATTGCACCACTTCGCAGGTTGCTAAAGAAAGAAGCAATCTAGGAGTGGGATAGAGATTGTACGCCGGCCCTAAAGAAGCTAAAGCGGGCCTTGATAGAGTACCCAGTCCTCAAGGTAGCCGATCCGTCCTTGCCTTTTGTTGTCACCATTGCGTCAGTACGGTATAGGTGTTGTTCTACAGCAAGATGATGGCAATGGGTATAGACGTTCATGCCTGCTAGGATGCCTTCAAGAGAAGGTAGCGACATCTACCTACGAAAGGGAACTCGACGCTCTCAGGCACGCATTAGATCACTGGAAGCATTACTTGCTTGGGAGGCACTTCAAAGTATATTCAGACCACGATACGTTGAGGTGGCTGAAGACGCAGGCCAAGATGACACCTAAGCTTACTAGGTGGGCCGCAAAGATAGACCAGTTTGACTTTGAGCTCAAGCTCGTAAAAGGAAAGTATAATGTAGTTGGGGACGCTCTAAGTAGGAGAGTTAATTACTTTGGAGTGATAGTTCACTATCTGGATATAGGGAGAGACCTGCAACAGAAAGTCAAGGAAGCGTATGCGCAGGACCCTATTTATTAAACCCTATTTACAAGGAGCCAACAAGCACCGTCGCCCATCACAGTTACAAGTAGGCGACTTAGTCTGGGTCAACTCAAAGGAGTTTTCTCCTGAGGAGAACATCTCGCAGAAGCTATTGCCTGCATACCTAGGTCCGTGACCAGTCCCAGAAGTCAAGGGCGGAGAGGATGGACTGTCCTATACAATCGAGATTCCAGCACACCTCCACACCTACCCAGTTTTCATGCGTCAAGGTTGTTGCCCTGTACCACAAGTCAACAGTTTCCATCACGGAGATCCATGATCCCACCAGACATGGATGGAAGGTACGACATTGACCGCATCGTAGGTGAAGATGTGTTCAAAACAGGAGGTAGAGGTCGTCCACAGAAACAGTATAAAATCAGATTTTCTTTTCAAGAACCAGAAGACGACCGCTGGTTCACACGAACAGAGCTTCAAGAGACCGCCCCCGATGTAGTTCGAGCCTATGAGAGAGATAAGAAAGGTAAAGGTCCTGCCTTGGACTGAAGTATTCTCGGAGGACCTTGAATTTAGGCCCGTGGGAGTGAAACGGTTTTCATCTTTGTAGTAGCAGATGCAGATCGCAGGGCTCGATCCCTAGATCTTACCCCACCGTGTACAGTATTCGCAGCCCTAAGGCTGCAGTATAGTGGGCTTCGATGTCTGTGTCAAGGTGTCGCATTTTTGGCGGCGGGCGACCAGGACGCAAAGTGGGTTCTTAGGGGGCAACAAAATTTGGGGGACCTGTCCTTGGCAAAATTGCGGACTACCTACAGCTAGCTCTGGTAGAACCGGGACTTTTGGAAAAAGAAAGGACCGGTCCTCGGGTGGAAGCGGACTCCAAAAAGAAGTATGGTGCGTTGGATCGGTCCTCAGGTGGAAGCGGACCCCAAAAAGAAGTGAGGGCATGTGAACTGCAAAAGGGCCCTCAGGCCAGGCGTCGAGGCCCGTTTTCTCAAAACAGGGAGGTCAGGTGCAACGAAACAGGCATTTTGCAAGAGGCAACTTTGGTGATTTTCTGTGCTTGGACGAACCTGCAGAAAAATCTAAAAGTTTGAGAATCCATAGATGAGGTCGTGTTCTTTCCAAGAAAAATATTAGAACATTTTCAAAAAATCATTTAGACTGTGAAATAATCGTCGCACCGATTTGGCACATTTTCCATTTTTGCAACTCAGCCATGTGTGGGCCAACTAAAAAAGTACTCCAAATTCAGTGAGTTTTCGCGCTCAGAATAATGCGTTAAGAAACCTGAAAATTGGAGTACTCGTAGATTTTGTTGTGATCTTTCCAGGAAAAATGCTGAATAGATTAAAAAACATAATTCCAACTGAGAAATAGATCGTGGCCGCAATTTGCCCATATTTCAATTTTGCCATTCAGCATTTCTCTCTCTCTCTCTCTCTCTCTCTCTCTCTCTCTCTCTCTCTCTCTCTCTCTCTCTCTCTCTGTGCGTGTGTGTGATAGCCCCCCCCTCCCTCTCTTTCTTTCTCTCTCACTCATAATAATAAATGGAACAAAACTCTCTCTCTCTCTCTCTCTCTCTCTCTCTCTCTCTCTCTCTCTCTCTCTCTCTCTCTCTCTCTCTCTCTCTCGCTCTCGCTCTCGCTCTCGTGTGCGCTCTTCCGCTCATTGCTTTGGCTACCTTAGGGCTGCGTTCCCCGCTCCCACACGGTAGACAATCAAGTCGACCCTGTGTGTTTGAACCCGCGACCTCAAGGTCGTAGATGCTACAAGTCTGAAAGGTCAAGGTCGTTAGCTGCTACAGTTCCGAAAGGCCAAGTCCACAGACTTCCGGAAGGTCCGGAAGTGGCCTTTTGAGAGTTTTACACGCTAGGCCAGAGGCAAGTGGGCAAGTAGGCAGTCCAACTTTGTCGAGTCAGTGGTACCCAGTCCCAGTTGCACTTTGTCTTGTCAGCAAGTACCATGTGGGACTGTGTGCACCATGGGCCCGATGGAAAGGGGCAGACCAGCGACCAACAGAAGTATAAATCAAGAGGCAACGTCCAGCCATTCATTCATTCTGCGTGAGCCATGCGGAAGCGCTGCCCTGGCGTCTTGTGCGAAGTGGTCTGCAGATGCCCGAAGTCGAAGTGGGCTGCAAGGAAGATAGAGCAGCCATCGCTGCTTGTAGGGAGTGGTAGCCGGCGCCCATAGCTGCCATAGCTAGTGATAGGTAGTAGTGAGTGTGTGTGTCTGTGTGTGTGTGTGTGTGTGTGTGTGTGTATGTGATACAGAAGTGAGCGTGCGTGGGATATCCTGGGAGATCCAGAGTCGAGTGCGTGTGAATAGTCGCTGCGAGTACAGAGTCGGGGAAGTGAAGTGTAGGCTCTCGGGCGTCATAGCCAGTTTGAAGCAAGTTTGTATCCGAACTGTGTTCTCGGCTTGAATATCTCTGAGCTTTGTGTGGGCGCCTGGAGCCAGTGTGGTTTGCCATCTGTGTGCATATGAATAACCATAGAGTTGGACGGAGATGTGCCTCTTCACCCCATTGGGGTGACAGATCAAAACAACATCAGCCTACCATCTATTCCCAGGAAATACAGGAAATACCTATGTTGGGCCGTCACCCGGCAAGGCATGCCCGGGCCAGTTGGGCAGAGGGGGGGGGGG